CGGAGGGAGAGGGGGATGTGGAGAGTTTGGATAAGGGGCATAAAGAATAAGTATGATTTGTAATAATGTATATGCTAATAATATTGATTTGATCAACATACATCAACGTTGAACACCCAAAATATGTATAATGAATTATGATTCAATATATAAATAAAAGTTATACCACAGTGGTTCCCAGTGTCTATGGCAACTAACTGTGTAAGTTGGTAATTATCTCTCCTAACTAATTTCAAAGGTATATGGACCTTCTATCATCCACTGATATATAACTGCATATATAGAAGCCTAAACCTGCCAACAACATTGTTTGAATTAAAACTCTCTAAAAAAATCATAAAGGTTCCTAAAATTTTACCTAGGACACATTGGCTTTTAATATTAATTTCGATATCAATTCAGTTTTACATATGTTATTCACTAGTGGTACAAATGTTTATACTTTCCTGTCTGTCTTTATCTTCTAACAATCTTGACCAATATAAATTATATTCCCCCAAGTTTTGCATCTTTTAAGACATTACACAGCAAACCCCACATACATTTTATGACTGAAATTAAACATTACTATTTATCACTATAAATAATAAGCAATTCACCACAACATAGCAATGCAAACCAAACATTTTATGACTGAAATTGTGACATACATTTTATGACTGAAATTAAACATTACTATTTATCACTATAAATAATAAGCAATTCACCACAACATAGCAATGCAAACCAAACTTATTAAAAACACTAAATGTGGTTATTCTAAATTTCAGCTCCATTGCAAAATTTAATTTAATTTTGCACAATTGGGCATTCATGCTGTTTACTCATATATAAATCACCATATTTCCTCTCCAGTAATGTGGATACTAACTTTGTCACTTGTATTTTCTGAAAAGAGAAAAGTATTTTAAAATATTACTATCACACCATTATTTTTTTGTATTTTCCAAGGCGAGATTCTTCAAAATACAACATAGAAACTGTTAGAAGAAACTGCAGCCCAACAAAAATTGAAATTAACATAGAATACTTAGAGCCTTACCTCTTGAAAGCAGTGGCACATTATAATGCAAGGACAGATGGAAAGGGAAAAGGTAATCACTTAAACTATTTGATACAAAACATCTTCCCTGATGGTTAGAAATATAAAATCTTAGTAGAGTGAGGAGAGTAGCAAAGAAAACAGCAAGCCAAGACCAATAATTTGTATATGTAGAAGAAAGATTTAAATTTCTTAAAGTACCTTAATCACTATTATTTATAAAAGGGAATAGGAATACTTACACAGTATAAAGTAGTATTAAGGAACATTCTAAAAATATCACCATAATCTACAGATTTTAAATTATCCTATTTCATAAGACAAATAGGTAATTATTTCTTAGTAATGATGCTTAATAAGCTCCTGTTTTTGTCTTATGTTTATTAATTCTCTACAAATTTTGAGTGGGATGTCAATTAAATTGTCAAATTACTAGCCACTTTAAGTCACTTAAATACTAATAGTCCTCTCCTTGTGCATTGAGGAAAAAGATAACTTATGCATTTAACCTTACATCCTTCTAAACTGTTACATTTTTGGACACTGGGATGTATTATTTTTAAAATTAAAAGTAATTAATAAAAAGTAAACTCTCAACTTTAAAAGAGTTTTGTTGCAGATCTTTGCAACATAAAAATCTGGGAAATAGAAAAGTAAAAAGTTTGACCTTGATTTTAGAAAAAGTTTGATATCTAATGCAGAAAATACATTAATCAATATCACAAAACACCTACTCTTCAAAATGACACGTCACTGACTAGTAAAGTGTGTGATTTATTTTTGATTTCTCTAATTTCAATGTAGTGAGAGAAAAGGCACTGCAAATTTGTCTTGGAATTTTACAGATACCACCCTTTGTTTTCAGAGTAATCAAGTTTTCATTGTCCTGACATCTGGACTACAAACGAAATCAAGCTATTTTTAAATACACTCAGTTTGCAAATGCAAAGTAGTAACTTACTTGTTAATGAGGTAAAATAATCCCTTTCCTCCTGAATTATGCACAGTGCTGGACATCAGACATGTGCTTAATAATCACTTGTTGATTGATTAAGCAACCATAAAGGCTCTATAACTATACAATTTCCTACAGTTTCTTTTTTTTTTTCCTTTTTTTTTGTCTTTTTCGTGACCGGCAACGGATCACAACCCTCAGTGTCGTGCCCATACCAGACCGGGAATGGCCACGGGATTGCAACCCTCGGTGTTGCTCCCGCCCCTCGCTCAGCCAGTGAGCGGCCGGTCTGTATGTGGGATCTGAACCCTCAGCGGGAGCGCCACCGCACTTCCCAAGTGGCGCACTATAGCAGTGTGCCACCGGGCCGGCCCAATTTCCTACAGTTTCAATTTGAGAATACAGTCATGCATCCATTAACAGTGGGGACACATTCTGAGAAACGCGTGTTAGGTGACTTTTTCGCTGTGTGAAAGTGTGTTATGAAAGGAAAGAGCAATGAATTTTGCTATTACCCACAGTGGCCACTAGTTGCATGTGTGGCCCTTCTAACTAAGTCTCTCTGTGCCTCACTTTCCTCATGTATTAAATGGGGATTAGCAAAATACCACCCCCACAAAGCTATGAAAATTTAACTTCATGTAGAGATTGCTGGCACGCAGCCAGCACTCAGTAAGTACTGTTATTAAGTATGAGTTTGCTATAAGGATGGGTGGGAATCACTTAAAAATGCAAGAATTCTACAGTAGACACGAACCCTTTCACCTGGGGTCAGACCTAATGTGTCAAATGCTTGACTTTCTACTTTAAGGTCTGAGCTACCTTTGGAGTCACCCTATGCATAAGCTAGGCACTCCTACTTAACATATTTCACAGTAGGTTTGTTTATACCAGCATCACCACAAATACATGAGTAATGCATTGTGCTATGACCTGGGACAGCTATGACATCACTAGGTGATAGTAATTTTTCAACTCCATTATAATCTTATGGACCAATAGTGTATATGCTGTACATTGCTGACCAAAAGTTTGTTATGCAGTTCATGCCCATAATAAATTTTAAATCATTTCTAGTTTAATCACTAAAGTTGTGCTTATAAAACACAAAATTTAAGCTTGGTATTTTCAGATTGCAGTACTTTTCCATAACTTCTATTTGCTTTTACTTCTGCTATTTTCTATAAGAAGACTTTCTATAAAATTTAACAAGTGTGGGGCCGGCCTGGTGGTGCACTGCTACAGTGCGCCGCTTGGGAGCGCGGTGGCGCTCCCGCCGAGGGTTCGGATCCCACATACGGACCGGTTCCCGCTCACTGGCTGAGCAGGGTGTGGGAGCAACACCGAGGGTTGCAATCCCGTTGCCGGTCCCGGTCCGGTCCGGGCGCGACACTGAGGGTTGCGATCCGTTGCCGGACACGAAAAAAGACAAAAGGGAAAAAAAAAATTTAACAAGTGTTAGGAAAACAGACTTTAATTAAGACACTTCTTTCAGTGAACTTTTTTCCTACCAGATAAAAAGAAATTCAATAAACAGCAAACTTGTGTTTCAGTTTTCTGGGTGGCTAGCATCTGATAGGCAGCATCTTTCTTTTAAGGATATCTACTTTGATTACTCCAAAATCTATTGCCTTAAAATAGACACACACATACACAAACACACACAAAATTTATAGCCAAACACACCTCAACACTACATATGTTTCTCTTCCTCACATGAAAAAAAAATAACATTTTTTGAAGGAACTAGTTTTCCTCAATATATACACCAAAACTTTAAAAAGCCACCCGCAACCACCAAACTGCATGTACAGTCCAGTAGCTGTTCTCCCAGAGCTCCTGCTCTCTTTTTCTCAGCAGCAGCCTGGAAACCTGCCACCTTCTCTTTCAAAGCCCCAACGTAGCCATGGCAGCAGTGCGACAGAAAGCACAGCCTCTTCATTACATGAATTAACATTCGGAAGGGATTATCTCATAGAAAGGACTTATCCACACAACTATTTTAATTATATTTTCCTCACAACTGGCATTGACAAAAACCATCAGGCGTGTAGATTATTTCCCTTTGTTTTCCTTTTAAAGTACATTTTTGTCACAATAAATCAGATCAAAATGATTTCACATAACTGACTTTGCCTTACAGTTTTGTCACTGAATCCCACAAGGAATAAAATGATCATCTATAAATAAAGGTTGCTGAAAATAGATGTGCAACCTGATAAGTGGTTCAAATAAGTTAATAACTTCAAAAAATTTTTTAATGTACTCCCAAAAGGAAAAAATTATAAGGAATATATTTTCAAAAACTTTTGTTAACATTATATATTTAAATTCATTCAATTTAGAAAAATCTTTACAATGAAAATATTCTCTAATTTGCTTCTGATGCTTTCTAAGCATCTCTTCTTGTTGTTGTTGTTTCATTACTGTTTACTTTTAAAGACTAAATTCTAATCAAAGTTTACCTGGAAAGAATGTTGTTAGCTATCTGCTCTAAGCTAATGCTTCATATACAGACATGGGTTGAAAGTGGACTTGTTTTCTGTTTTCTTAAGACTACTTCCTAGCAAAAAAAGCTCCTTATTTCCTTTCTCCTTAAGGTAAGATACATAAGGTGATAGCAACTATAATCACTCTGTTTAAATTTTTGGTGGCCAATAAAGGATGGAAAAATTGATGAAGGAAGATTCAAGATTTGCCTTGCATTGTAAGTGCCAGCTACTCAATGTTATGCCAAGACTTGGAGAAAAAGAGTTACAGAGTTATGCTACATGGTTCATAACATGTCAAAATGCACAATTAGGTTTTGATTAACCTATAATTGCTTTGCAGAAAGTGCTGAATGTATATAATATATGGGCCACATGTTAATAAAGCAAATAAAACTTCATTTCCCTTCCTTCAAAGAACAGCTGATTTTAGGGGTTTGTAGATTACATGTTTCCTGGAAATTACCTGAAAGAAGAGTTTTTATAAGAGCTGAAAGCACCCTTAGCCACCTACCCATTTTGCTGTTTACTGTCACCCTGGGATCCTCTTCTCTGTCCCTCTGCTAGCTCCTGAGCAGTCTCGGAACACACGCTGGTGACTGTGGGCTGCCGTGGGACATTAACTGCAGTTTTACCAGTGCTCAGTGCAGATGAACACTGGTCAGCACTAAGATTGGCATTAACATGCAGTCCAGATGCAGCGAATGGGGGAGGAGTGACAGCAGCCATGGGTGGAGGGGAAGCATGTGATGAAGTGGTCGCATGGGCTGGGGTGAAGGCAGACGATGGTGATGGGATGGATGTGACTTTTGGTGAAGAAACAGAACCAAAGGGCCGTGGTGCCTTATTGTAGGCCATGTTGGTTGTGGAAGTGACTTTGGACACAGCAGGAGATGTAATGGGCACAGGTTTAACTACTTCCTTAGGTTCTCCCTATATAAAATAAAAATAAACATACACAAAAACACACCAAATACATGCAAAATATATTCACTGGGAAGAACACATAGCTGATTTTTAAAAAGACAAACAATCATGTTAGCAGCTCAAATGTCACATGTTCCCAGACAGAAACAATGAGTTGATATAGTGTAACATGCATGCTAACTGGTCCCAACATGCATAACACAGATGCACACACTAAGTTTTTTTTTTAATAGAAATGAAAGCAGTTTCAAAATATTCAGGAAATACAGCAAGAAAACTATCAGAAAGCCTAAAAGCCATCATAATTGTCAATTTAGACTTGTTCCAAAGGAAATTTTTAAAAATATCCACAATAAATAAAACATTGCTAACTGAAATGATTTTAAAAATATCCAGAGCCTCACTTGTAACTCCATCTTCCAAACATGTTTCTCTCTAGAGTGTAATTACTTGATTCATACAGAAGCAGCAGCACATTTCTAACTCTTCAATTAAAAAAAAAAACATGGGGAATAAGATAATTTTCATCTAACTCAGAAATGTTCACATTCTAATTAATTATTTTGAATCAAGAATACGAAAAAAAAAAACTTAAAAAAGCAAACAAATGAGCAAAACAAAATCAATCCTTTCTCTCTCTTCAGTAATCTACCTCTGTTTCTCTCTCTCAATGTTTTAAGGTATG